TCCCTTTCTGTACCTCTCCTTCCCTCCCTTTCTCTTTCCCTCCCTCTCTTCCTCTCCCTCCCTTTCTCTCCCTCTCCCCCCCTCTCTCTCCCTTCTTCCCTTTCTGTACCTTTCCCTCCCTCCCTTTCTCTCTCCTTGCAGATTGGCAAAAGTGGGAACATACCAGCAGGAACTACTGTCGATACGAACATTACTCACCCTTTTGAGTTTGACTTCTATCTGTGCAGTCATGCCGGCATTCAGGTACCTTTTTTTTTAGCAGCTTCCTGGCAGAGACGGGTAAGGCAGGCCTCCTTCCAGGTGGGCTGGACTTCATTTCCCAGCATTCTCTGCCATGGCTGCAAATTCTAGAGATGGAAGGCCACATCTACAGCGAACGGAACAACTAACCGTAATCTCAGAAGACCTTTCAGACGGCCCCCCATCCTCTGAGGGGTACAGACAGTCCTTGACTTATGACCGTTAACTGACTTTGCTTGCCAGAAGTTTGCAAAACCATAGTCAGGTGACCCTGGGACCCTGCCATCGATATAAATATGAGTCAGATGCCAAGCGCCTGAATTTGAATCATGCGATGATGGGGATGCTACAGTGGTTGTAAGTGTGGAAAAAAAAAGATAAGTCGCTTTTTTCAATCGGCTGGAACATCAAACGGACATTCAGTGAACCGTTATAAGTAGAGGACTGCCTGTACCTCCTTCTTTTTACTGCACCTCCCGCCCAAACACCCTGCTATCATTGTGCTGGTAATGTTTCTCGCCTCTTTCCTTCCTTCCTTCTCCCCTAGGGTACCAGCAGACCCTCCCATTACTACGTGCTTTGGGACGATAACCGGTTTACAGCAGATGAGCTTCAAATTCTCACCTACCAGCTTTGCCACACCTACGTCCGTTGTACACGCTCTGTTTCTATCCCAGCACCAGCATACTACGCCCGATTGGTGGCCTTCCGGGCACGATACCATCTTGTAGACAAAGAGCATGACAGGTGAGTAGCTGCCCCCAAGGAAGATGCTCCTTGTAGAGTCCAATGCCCACCACTGGGTGGCGCTAGTGAGTTAGAGGTTCTGGCCTTCTCTGAGCTGCGCTATTTTCTTGGAAGACCTTTTATTGCCTGATATAACTGATACTCGGCCTGGTAACAAAAAGTCGTCCAGCGATGCCACCTCAAATACAAACAGGTATTGCAGCTAAATGTTGGCTTAGAAGCTGTAAGTTACACTGGGGAGGGAGGATGCCATAAGTGGGGAATTAAGTATCTCCGGAAAAAAATTGTATTAACAGTACAGGTAGTCCTCGACTTACGACCACAACTTCCCCATTGACTTTGCTCGTCAGAAGGTCACAAAAGGGGATCCCGTAACCCCCGAATACTGCAACCCTCATAAATATGAGTCAACTTCCAAATTGCATTTGAATTTTGATCACGGGACCACGGGGAAGCTGCAATGGTCATAAATGTGAAAAATGGTCATAGGTCACTTTTTTCAGTGCCGTTGTAACTTGAAATAGTCATTAAATGAGCTGTTGTAAGTCGAGGACTACCTGTAAATTTCACTTAAATAAAGGCTTTGTCAGGATTCCAGCAGTTACCCCCATTTCAATCATGAGTCTCGAGTCAAACTTCCAAAACTTCAAAAAGATTTATTGGGAGTTAACTTGTCCGGCACTGCCTGGTTGTAGCCGACTCTGAGACACATCATTCTTGTTACCCTTGATCCTGGTTTTCCCCTCACCCCCTGGATGTATCATAATTCATATTCTCCAATGGGAGACATCCCTAGCCAAGAGTCATCAATCATGTTCTCCAGTTAGAATTTTGCATGGCAGGAACTTCAGTCACCCAGTTACGATCTTTGAAAGCATTTATGGAATGCAGTTTCACTTTGCAAGCTGCCGCACTGCTCCCCCCTCCCTTTCTGTTGGCAACTCTAAAAGACCATAGAGATATTTTACGAGTTGACAGGCTTCACACTAATTCCCCAGCATGTCGTCCAAAGGCAAAAAGCGGCCCCCAGCCTGGAAAAGGGTTTGTCCCTTTAGTTCAGGGGTGCCAAACAGAAGGCCACGGGGCCCTCCTGCATGGCTTCGGCCTGGTCTACCCAGTGCAAACAGGAAACATGCCAGCAGTTTGGGGAGTGGCGTCAAGCTGGCCACGCCTACCTGGTCAGCCATGCCCACCCGGCCCCCAGAGGCCAACCAACAGCCCTGATGCGGCCCTCAATGAAATTGAGTTTGACACCTCTGCCCTAGTTTGTCTCTAATGCCCTTAGACTTATGGAGGAGGAAAAAACCTTTTTATCTAGCAGCGGTGTGCTGTTTGTCTAGAGCAACGTTTCCAACGATGGCAACTTTAAGATGCTGTCTGGGGAATTCTGGGAGTTGGAGTCTTAAAGTCCCCTGGAATAGAAGCTGTGCCATTTTACGCTGACAGTGATTTCCCTGCCTGGAGAAATCTGCCATCCTCGCGCCTTTCTTTTTCCTAATTAACGCTCTGTTTTAATCCCCCCCCTCCCCATTCCTTTTCTTCTGCCCTTTTAGTGGAGAAGGCAGTCACATCTCCGGCCAGAGCAACGGCCGAGACCCTCAAGCTCTCGCCAAGGCTGTGCAAGTTCATCAGGACACTTTACGTACCATGTACTTTGCTTGAAAACCCAACATTTTTACCTCACTCCAGAAAGCTTTCTGATTGGTAGGAGACATACAAAAAAAGAGAGAAAGAAAGAAGGAAGGAAAGAAAGAAAGAAAGAAAAAGAGAAAGAAAAGAAAGAAGAGAAAGAGAAGGAAGAAAAAAGAAGAAGCATTGGAGCACCTTGTGGTTATCCAATGGAGAGATCACTGCAGGCCGCGGACAAAACATTTCTAGGAAACTGCCCTTGTTTTCCAGGGTCAACGCAGGAGAACTGCATAACCTTTGTAGTATTAAAACAAGAGAGACTTTCTGCTTTTCAGGCTTTCCAGTTACCTGACCAAACAAATGCAAAATATTGAAACCGTGGGAGGGAATCTGTCCTTCAGTTTAAAAAAACAACAACAACCCCCACAGGTTTTCATCACTGGGATGGTGGGCAGTAGAGACAGGAGATGCAATATTAGACTTCTGACTGTGAAATAAGAAGAGTTCCAGTCCTTTTAATGCCCCAGTCAAAAATGCTGTTTCTTATTGGTTCAGGGTGGGGGGGGGGGGGGGGGGGGGCTGGGACTTGTAGAGCCTTAAAACAGATGACTAGATTTATAAAAACTAATATTTTAGGATACAAAATGCTTTAATTGGCAAAGAAGAAAAGAAGCCAGTAGTTTATAGATGAATTTTAACACGGTTACCCCTTCTCCACAGAAGAGGAAAATAATATGAATTTCCCCCCCCCCTCTCCTTTCTATATAATAATGGTGTAAGGTACCCGCAGCACTTACCACAAAAGGAAACTTGTCTTCCGTCTGTTTAAAAAGTGAGTTGGCTGCTGCCCCCTTAATGCGGCAGAAACACACCGTGGGCGAGTGCCTTACTGCTGCAAAATGATGACATTTTTTTTTTCACCTTTCAAACTGAAAAGAAAAGGAAAAAGGAAAGGGAAGGAAACCAACAATGCTCTTGACTTGACTTGGTCGTGGTCCAGATCTCTAGCTTGAAAATGTCTGTGTTTTGGGGTTTTGTTGATGTTCACCAAGCATACCATTTCATTTTCGCTCACAGCCTCGTGGTGGATTACAATTCTGTGCACTTTTATCCTGATATAGAAATACGGAGAGCTGCTGATGATAAAAACCTGCTTTTTTATTTTTTTTTGATGAATTGCGATTGATGGAATTGCTTCTGATGTGTTTCTTGTGTGGTGATTTTTCCCCTCCTTTTTAATTTAAAGGACGCTGCATTTCTGATGAACAGGGTGTGTGTAAAAGGAAGTGTCTTTGTCTGCCCTGCAAGCACAAAAAAAAAAAGAACTCTGCTATCAGTTCATGTCCTGATTTTTTTAATATATGGATGAAATTTTTTATTATCAAGTATTTTTATACGATGCTGAGTCTATTGCCAAAACATACACTCAAATTCTCACTGTTTACATCATTTTCCCTCCTTTATCTCTGTCCAACATTTTGGGAATATTACAGTAGATCGCTTGATCATCACAAAAACTCAAATTGGCATTATATCGAGAAGATTTCCAGGTGGCTCAGTTTCCCAGGGGCAGCCAGAATCTTCGTGCTGTATAGTAAAGGAATGATCATTTCATTTCCCGCAGTTGTGTAACTCCGATGTCTTCTCAAACCTTATATTGTTTTTCTGTGACAGGAAAGATGGATGTAAATCAAGACCATTTCTCCAGCTTGCTTTGAGATCAGAACATTAAAATGCACTTCGCTGTTTGTCTATAGAAATGGATCCTGATTTTCTAGGGAAAAAAACAAACCAGTCCTTTTACCCGTGGCTCTGAATTTTCCTTCCTGCAACAAACACCTTGGATAGGAAATATCCTGGACCGTGCTGGCCCCTTGCAAACCGATTTTGGCTGTTCAGAAGGAAGCCTGTGCCATAAAGTTGTCTCCAAACCATATCCTGTCACTTCAGAGTTGTATCTTCGAGTGCCAAAGTGAGCTTTCAACATCAGCCTCAGCAAAAGATCCCGATTCTCCCATAGAGCTGCACAACTCTTTATAATAATAGAATTTTTTTATTGGCCAAGTGTGATTGGACACACAAGGATTTTGTCTTGGTGCATTTGTAGTTTTTGTGGAACTCCCCACCCGTCAAGGAAAAGGGCAACGCTTGTGGGGTGAGACTTTTGGACTGTATGTGCTTCCAACATCAAGTTCAATTTTCTTCTCTCTTTTTTTAGGCCTTATCTCTTCTCCCCGCTTTACCCTGCTTCACCGTATCCCGTAGGGCAGAAAGTTAATCCATCTGAAAGCTATGCAAGCCAACAGGCCACTCAGAACGGAACCCAGTTAGGTGCTTTGCAATTTGATTGTGAGTCTGTATTATTTAACCACGAGGCTAACAACTGCCATGGGAATGCGCCCAGCCTGACAGTGCGCACAAAGAGGAGGTGGAAATTCCTGACACAAATGCTGTATCTCAGATGGCCTCTGAACAACTTGTCTGTTGCTCTGCTTAACGTGGGTGGAGCTGGTTGATCTTTCAAACATGAATAATACAGATTGTGGGCTCAGTGATCCTTCCTTCCTCTCATCCATCCATCCTGCTGCCTTCTTCCCTCCCTCCCTCCTTCCCTCCCATCCATCTCCCTCCCATCTTCCCCCCTTCATCCCTCCCTCCCTCTTCCCATCCATCTTTCCCCCTTCCCTCTCTGCTTTGAATCCTTCAAGGTTGGCATTGTTTTGCCCTGGGCACCTGCACTCAAACAGAAGCACCAAGACCGGAAGCCAACATTGCTTAACCAAGTGCCTGCATGGCAAACTCACCTACCAGCCTTCATCGAAGCTCCTCGTAGACGATTGTCGGTTTGCCTCACCCCCTTTTCTCAGCTTTTGCGTGAAAATGCATTTACAAAACAAAACCAAAACCAGAAGGACATGTTGAGTTTTTCTTGGTGTCTCTTCAGCCTGTCTGACTCTTTTCTGCTTGGAGTAGATTCTCACTTCTGACACCAGCACCGCGACCGCGATTCTAAACTGTTTTTGAGCAAGAATAAGCGACTTGGGCATTTGCAGAACGGGGAACGTGCGGGACAAGAGAACCCGAAAGAAACTTGGAGCTTTGACAAAACCACCCACAACAACGCATGCTTTAAAACCAACACCAAACCTCCGGGACTTGAATTGTTACCAATGGATCCCGCTTTCAGATTGTTTGTTCTTTTGCACTCCACAGTTAGGTTGCTGCTTTTAAAGGAGGAGAGGGACATGGCATGATTGGGGGGATGTTAAGTGGCCAGCGCTTTCCTCACCTCACCCCACTTCCTCACCTCTCCCCACCTGGTGCATGCAGAGTTTTCACGAAGTGCCGTAAATAATGTAATTGCTGCAACCTCTTTGAAACCATGTTTTTTTCTAAGTTTGGGGTGATTCTCCCCTCCCCCTTTCTCTCTCTCTCTCTCTCTCTCTCTCTCTCTCTCTCTCTTTCATTTTGATGTTTTAAGAACTGGGCTAACCACCCCCTGCATGTGCTACGTAACAAAAGCTACCTGTTGCATCCCTGCTTCGCTTGGGCAAAATTTGTCTTCTGTCTTTTGCAGGGGGCAGAGAGTGCACCCCAAAGAGGAAACATTCTCTGCTTCAGCTTCTTCCTCCGTCACTAAGTGTGGCTGTTGCTGCTGTTGCGCACTGCACGGGTGTTTTTGTGAGATCCGCAAAACGACAACAATACTAGTTTTAAAAAAAACCCTGTTTTGGGATGTTTCGCCTTGCACCTTAACCCGTATTCCTTGTGATAGGCTTCCCCCTCCCCTTTCTGTGGCCGGAAATGTTGCCGACGTCCCACAGGCTGTGTGGGTGGGTGGGTGGGGAACGGGAGCGTGAATGCAGCGTACAAATGTAGCCATCGGTTGTTGGTTTTTATTGTGATTATTTCTAATTTTGCCTGCACTGCTGCTTGTTCCGATGGACTGCTTAGGTCTGAATGAGGGGAAAGGGAGTGGGTGGATGAGGCTTCATAAAAGCAAGGAGAGACGTAAAATAAGGCCCGATTGAAGATTGGAGTCCAGTGGTTTGAGCGCTGATGGGCCCCGATGCCACATCAGAAGCTGGCATCGCAAGGACCTGGATTCAGAACTAGCTTGTAGGATTGAAGGATTCCAGTTGCTTGGGGAAACATTTTTTTCTCTGCATCCTGGATGTTTACAGTAGAGATGGTGTATCTCAAGCATTAGGTCAGTGCTTCTCAACCATGGCAACTTGAAGAGGCGTGGACTTCAACTCCCAGAATTCCCCAGGCAGCCATGCTGCCTGGGGAATTCTGGGAGTTGAAGTCCTCGCCTCTTCAAGTTGCCATGGTTGAGAAGCACACTGATCTAGGTTTGCAATAGTGGTGATTATCTGTAGCTGGGGGTGTAGGAGGAGGATGGAGATTTCATTCTCCAAGCTTCTGGGTTGGTTTCTGGACGTTTCGTTACTAGGCTACATAACCTCTTCGGTGGACCTTAGGAGTGTTAGTGTTCTGCTACTTCTTCGTGTGTCCCACCACACAGACCCCTTATAGGCGGAAGAACGCCAACACACACATTCCCTAAATTTCGCTGAAGCCTGGTTACGGAACGATTGGAAACCAACCCACAAGCTCGGAGAAGAAGCCTCCACCCTCACTGATCTAGGTGTTGCTGGATTCCAACATACATCGTCTCAACACCATTATCTACGCTGGGTGGGGATTATGAGAGTTGGAAACTAGCAGAACCTGGAAAGTGAGAAGTTCCTCCCCGCATCCCTGATCTAAGTACCTGGCAAAATTTACTTGAGAAGTTTTAAGTGGAAGCAAATGGACTTTTTTTTCTTTCCCATTTGGTGGATGCTTCAGAACCTTCTCAGGTTCTTCTGCTTTCTGGTCAGAATATCCATAATTGGGTGCAAACGCCTTTCTGGGTCTAGTTCTACATCTTTAAATGACACCGGAAGCTTTTTGTTTCGAAAGAGCTGTGTTTTTTTTCTCCCCGTCTGTTGAAAATTATACAAAATGTTTTGTTTTTTTTCCTCCTAAAGATTGTTCTCAAAAGAAAAGATATTGATGCTTCCTCCCCCTCTTTGCCTCTCTGTTTTCTCCTTATCACTTTGGGACCAACGAAGCAACTACTGTCCATAAAAAGCTGACATTGTAGAAAAGATGTAGTCCAGTCCTTTTTTTTTTTTCCTTCTTCTTCTCTCCCTCCCCTTCCTTTTATTCAAATGTTAAAAAGCATCTTGGCAGCCCAGTGCAAACTTGTTGTGCTGGTTCTATCTCGTGAGAGCCACACAGCAGAACAGCAATAATAATAATAATAATTTAAAAAAAGAAACAAAACCCGTATCACACATGCGCATGTAATTTTGCACTTCTAAATAATTGTGAAAGTTTTAAACTGATGGCAAATCTAGTCTTGTGTTCAAAACAGTTTTTTTTTTAACCTGTTATAAGGAAGCGTGGATGTGTAAATACAGAATGTTCACAAAACACATATGTCTGTGTAGCTTTGATTTTTTTGTGTGTGTTTGTGTGTTTATTTGAAATTGAGCATTGCATGGTCTGTTTTATTAAGCGGGTTTAAACTATTGCTGCATAACCTTGATTGACAGCAAGCTGCGGTCTTAATTTGATTTTTTTTTTTAAAGAATAACAAGATATCTTTCTATAAACATCAGAAATGCAATAATAAGGGGTGAAACAGAAAGTACAAAGGGAGGAAACAATGCTATATTGAAAAATTGTGGAGGGTTAGTTTTAACTTTCTTCTAGGACAGTTATTCCAACCTGGTGCTTTTTAAGTACACTGGAATTGCAATTTGAGTCGCCATCGGCGAATAGTCGGCAATATAAATTCAATAAACAAACAAATAAACACAAATAAAACAAATTAGCAGAAGCTTTGCGTTGGCTGGGAGTTGTAGTCTCATTGTATCTGAAGCGCACAGTTAGTCTAGTACAGCATGGCTGGCTCAGGAGTTACGGGAATTGAAATCTACAAGGGCCATAGCTGCCCATCCCTGGTCTAGTATATCAAAGAATCTTTCTGCACAGTCTATTCTTTGTGTGTCTGTGTGTGACCTTTGCATCAGGTGTTTTCAAATGACCTTGTTCTCTTTGGAATATCTGTAAATTACACTCAGTATTAAGCGAGCGCTCCCCTGACAAAAGGACTTTTAGAGCTTGAAAACCAAGCTGTTTGGCTCTCCTGCAATCCTGAAAATTGAACCTATTTATAAAATCCATGTATTCAGAGAGAGCAGCATTACTTAATCTCGTTTCTCTGGTGCTCCGTTGGAGTGTAATATAAATCAAGAGGCCAATAACTCCAACTATAATACTGTAGATCAGAAAGGAACCGCAAATTAGGCGTTGTTGAGCTACTAGCATTGTCTTAGTCCACTTGACCAGGAATTAAGTTCTAGAGTGATTGCAACCTGAAGAAGAGAAAATGGATTGGTACTATAAAGTTTTGTTATTTTGAATTAAAAATTCTTTCCTTTTCCTTTCTTTCCCTTCTCCTCCCCTCCTCTGATCCTTTACTTCTCAAAAAGCTTGTTTCCTCTGAAACACATCATGCTCAATTCAGCAAATACAAGAAAGCACAATTTAAACAAAAGATGAAGCATGTGGACATTTTAAACACCAAGATAGCATTAAAAACTGTGATGTAATATTCTGGAAAGCAATAAAATAAAAGGGTCTCAAGACCGATATAAAACTTTTAAGGTAGGTCAAATGAAGAAGGAAACATTGCAGGATTCTGATAATATTTTATTATTGTACAGCACGGTTTCTTCACCAAGGCAATCTTAAAATGCGTCCCAGACAGATGGCTATCTTAGTCTCTGAGTCTATCCACTTCTTCATGTCATTAGATGCCCTGTTCTTTACCCCATAAGAAGCTTTTTCAAACATTCTCTTGGAATTTTCCTGAAACTTAAAATCTGATTATTTTGGGCCATGCAACTCTGGATAAAACATAATAGGTCTCAAGTTCTTGTTTGATGCCTTTTCAAGTATTTGAGGAATGCTATCATTTTTCTTCTTGACACTAACATTCCTACTTCCTTGAATCACCGTGCCTGGTTTTTAGGCCCTGATCATTTCATTTCCCCTTTCTCAATCTGTTCCAATTTCTCTGAATGTTGCTCTTAAAATACAGTGCTCAGAAGTGAGGGTAAGGCAGCAGAGTCTGATCAAAGCAGAATAAAATGAAACACTGAGTTTGTAAGTCCTGTAATTTGGACATTGTACTTTCTCTTAGTGCACCTGAAAACTACGGGTAGTCCTTAACTGACCATCACAACTGAGGCCAGAATTTATGTTGCTAATTGAGGCATTTGTAAAGTGAGTTTTTCCCCATTTTACAACTTTCCATGCCACATTGTTAAGTGAATCACTGGAGTGGTTAAATTAGTTGCACGGTTTTTAAGTGAATCTGGCTTCCTCACTGACTTTTGCTTGTCAAAAGGGTGCAAAAGATGATAATGACCTCGGGATGCTGTGGCCGTCATAAATATGAACCAGTTCTCAAGCATCCAAATCAGAGGTGGTATTCAGCAGGTTCCAAGCAATTTCTGGAGAACCGGTAGCGGAAATTTT